ACACACATATATATAATTAATATAAAATAATTAATTAAACAATGCATGCTCAACATCCAATTTATATTAATATAAATTCTTTTTTTTTTAATAAAACGTATTTTAAAACTAAAATAAACGTAAAATAAAAAAATAAATAGAAATACAAATTACATCAAAAATTAAAAGTGATTGCGTTTAACAAAATGCAGGCTTCCCCACAACACAATTTATGTTGTCCCAACACAAATCAATTCAATAAATAATTTTTACAAATTTAAGTGGATTGAACTTAAAAGTAAAAAAAAATAAATAAATCAGGAATTATGTTGATTCAGCTCATTTTGTATATTAATGTAGTTTGAACAAGAAGAAAAATATATTTATTTATTATGAGTTGAACTATCACAGTTCATAAATTTTTGGGGGAAACAATTTAATTGTTTTAACTTCAACATCCACTTAAATTTGTTTCAATCCACTTAATAAAGTTACTTTGATTGATTTTGTGTTGGGACCAGCATTTTTTACAGTGTATGTTTAATTATGATACAATAAATACAGTCTCATTCCTCAGTTCATAAGCCCCTAAAAAGCATCATAACCTTAGTAACTCTTATAATTCTTCATTAACAAAAAGCTCAACTAAGACAATGAATGAGCAAACAGTTCTGGAGCAGAGATTTATTACAGCATGACAATGCACTCCAAAATGACGGTCTCCTTAGATCCCAAACTAATGTCCAGGAAATGATGCTCATCAAACTATAATTATAAGGTGAGTCATATGTGACACGCTCCATGTATAATTCATCATCTCTGATCCCAATGCAGCGCTCAAGGATTTTTATCTTCTAGAAAAACTTCAGCAAATTCCCCCAAAACAGCAGGACGCCGCCATCGCGACAGCTATACATGACTAATAAGAAAAGACCGTGAAACAACAGCTGATGTACGACGAGACCCAGTTCTGTGCAACAGAGCATTATGTGCGCTTCTGAAAATAAACACAATCAGAAAAAGAGACACTTCTGCATCTCCTGCGCTGGATCTCCATGCATTCATTTCAATAATTGGCCGGTTTGAGCGTCATTACAGCTCCATCACACGTCCTCTGACAGCTGCTTCCCCGCAGATGCTTGACAAACTCCGAAGCAGTAAAGGACATGTGATTATCTGCCTAAAATGCTCCCTATTAATTTGAGCAGGAAATTATTCTCTATTTTAAGTGGGTCAGCGTTCTCTGGAGGAGGCCGTAATCGTAAAATAGCACAGGGCAGTCCGATGGGAACAGGAGGAAGGTTTTTAAAGGAAAAACCATCACGTTTGTTGATCACCGTTAACCGTTTCGATCGTTTGAATTGGAGAGGGACAAAACTGCACAGTGGGAACATGGAGCAGATCGGTTTAAACCTGGAAAAAACTACCAAGGACTCTTTCATAAACAAATTTAAGGGCTCATTCACACTGAATCCATCTGCTTCTAAAAACGTGAGACACAATGGTTTGGAATGGATTGAAAAAAGACAGTTAAAAGCACAAGGGTATACGGAGATAGCCATAGAGCGCCTATAAGCAAAAACCTGTAATGAAACTCCGCCTCAGAGCTCTGCTGATTGGTCCACTGCTATGAAACTGACAGTGATCATAGATATATACACTAGATATCGCATATAGGGACCCTGAGCATACGTCAATAGCGCCGCCACATTGGTACAGTGCTCCCAGGACAAGTGTCAGTCATCCGCACTAGTCAAGACAGTGTTATTACGTGAAGATGTGGGAATTTAGCGCTGTCTACGGGTGTAGTAACGAAGAAACAAAGAAAACAAAGCACAAAGGCAGAACATGTCATAGGTAATATTAAGTTTTTTTTTCTGTTTTTGTATGTTCTGAACTTTTGTGCTAATCAGGTAACATTATTGATGATGACAGTCACTTACTGCATTCACCATACAGCAAAGCAGCTCCAACTCGCACTAAACACTCGGCTTATGCTAGTTTTGTTGAATAAAATCAGCAAACAATGCAAAAGAAATATGACAACGAGATGCTGCGCTGCCAGAAACTTGTATTATTGTCGGCTAACGTTAGTGAAAGAGTCGTTCGGGGGATTCATTTACAAATCGCTCCCTCCGTCAGTATGAGAAGTGAAAGCAGGAGAGGAGCTGTGTTTCAGGACATGATTAGATCAAATTTAACAGGGAGGGTGGATAGTACATTTCTGTACACACAAACACAAGCTTTTTGTCAGGAATGCCCGTGCGGTCTCTGATCCATCAATGTAGAAAAGTGATGTACAATTATAATTTTCGTAATTAGAAAAAAAAAATTACATACTAACATCCAGGAAAACTCCCGATCATAGAAATATGTGTATATGTGTATATCTCTGGCTTTGCATGGCCACAGTCCTCCACTGTACCTTGGTCCCGCATTCATTTCAAAGGAGCGCTACCCTGTAGCAAGATGGCGGCGCTATTGACGCATTCCGTCCAATAGAAAACAATAATAATAATTATAATAATTCGTTACATTTATATAGCGCTTTTCTGGGCACCCAAAGCGCTTTACACAATGGGGGGGGGGACTCTCCTCATCCACCACCAGTGTACAGCATCCACCTGGATGACGCGACGGCAGCCATTTTGCGCCAGACCGCACACCACACACCGGCTGATTGGTGGAGAGGAGACAGAGTGATGATATGCCAATCATGATAGTGGGAGGGTTAGGAGGCCATGATGGACAGAGGCCAGTGGGCAGATTTGGCCAGGATGGCGGAGTTTAAACCCCTACTCTTTTTCGAAGGACATCCTGGGATTTTTAACGACCACAGAGAGTCGGGACCTCGGTTTAACGTCTCATCCGAAAGACGGCGCTCACTGAGCAGCATAGGGTACCCGTCACTATACTGGGGCATTAGGACCCACACAGACCGCAGGTTGGGCGCCCCCTGCTGGCCTCACTAACACTACTTCCGGCAGCAACCTAGCTTTCCCATGTGGTAAACTGACCATCCAGGTACTGACCGGGCGCAGCCCTGCTTATAGCTTCAGTGGGCGACCATGTGAGAGTTGCAGAGAGCTAGCTGCCGGCTAAATAGGCCAGGCG